GTTGAAAACTTACGTGCAGTATGTACTCAATGGCGACTATCTCCAAGCACTGTTCGTCATTCCAATACATCGGAACGTTAAACCTTCTATCGAATGGCGAAGCATATCTGCTTGAATGTGTTTTCATAGTTCCTGTGAGCGTGAAGCCGTCCATAGTTAAAGTTTTTGATGGCAAACGATTGCTATGGAATTTTGTTCCCGTGCCGTTTCATAGTTGTGCTGGATGAATCACCAAATAAACAAGTCTTCAGTTCCAGGATGCACAGACATGATAGCCAGCAATCGTTGAAAAAACATGACACATCCAGTCTGTGCTCGATGAAACAGACTTAAAGAACATGACACATCCAGTCTGTGCTCGATGAAACAGACTAAAAAACTCTAAAATAGTGTTATGTGTGTAGTGTGCAGTAATGTGTGCAAATGTGCAGTACTAGGATGAGAAATTTTCAAACGGTTTTTGCCTTATGAAGGCGCAATTATTCTACTTTATAATGCTGTCCTACACACGATAAAGACGTCGCCAAGCGCTGCGATCTGTAGAGTTAGAATATCGTACTGCGTATGATCGCAAGCATCAGTTTACTGAAGTCGGATATCGTCAAGTTCAATATTCACGTTCTCTGCTTGTACTGTGTATAGCCGGCGTGTACTACCACCATAAAAACATGACCGTTCTCGACACGGAACAACTCAGTAATGGTGTGTAAGTGAGCTTGGTTTGTATTTTCTTGGTGATTTTTCCTATTTCCATACAAATATGTGAACAGACACGAAGGTGGTCGTTTGATAAACGTTCTAATTTTCTTTATTGTCTTGTTTAATAATAATATTCCGCAGCACTAAGACAAGATATTTTAATATCTTGTCTTAGTGCTGCGGAATCGGCTTTAAAGATTGAATTTATTCGATTGAGCACCGACTGTAGTAGTTCTTTATTAAAGGGGGCTGACATTCCTCAATGAGAGTCTAAAGTGAGCCTGGCTATACCGGGAGCCTTTTGTAGGATTCGCTTTTACTTGTGTTTGGCTAACGGTTAACTGATTTGAAGTAAAGATCGAATCAGCTGCTAATTAAATGTATTTTAAGCTTTTTGATTATTGTTCAGAATACACTACTGTATAGGTAGTAATGACAACACCGTTGAACTAATGTGTTTCGTTTATCCCTCTGAATTTCCGACAAATATCGCTGAAAACGCTGTTAATATGTTCAGTGGCATGCGGTGTCTTATTCACACGCGTTTACCTACCACAGGTCACCCACATTAGCCTTTCGACAAGCGTACCAGGGTCACTTAGTGTAACGCCTGTACGATTTTTCAATGAGGAAGACTTTGGTAGCGCTATCTTTCGTCTGGTAACCGCCAATATTTAAAATTACATAATAAGAGTGATTAGCGAATTCTATACAATCTGAAAGAATAGGCTAAGTCTTTAAAGCTATGTCTTGAAGTCTAAGAGTTTACACGTCTACCATATATCATTGATATTACAAACTTGTTTTAGTACGCTCTGCAAGCCATAATTATTGCATTCCTCTTTTGGTAGTTCTACTTAATTACCTGGTTTCGGTTGCGCAGCAACATCGACTCAGGTCTAACAATATTTCAGAAGAAATTGTCTATCTGTGGGCATTATGAACAGTTCCAGTATATGTTGGGAAAGTAATCTTCTTATTTTTTTTCAAGGCTTTCTTGACGCATGGGTGTTCAAGTATTATAATTGCCAAAATAATAGAATAAGGGAACAAATGCCGATAGAAACCGTATAGTTACATGCGAGATTACATAGGCTAGTCACTCAAATGAATGGCAGGATAGTATTCACATCAGCCTAATCCAGCGTGAAGGCTGTTTATGGCAGGTTTAAGCCTTGGGGAAACTCTTAAGCGGCAGACGCTGCCTTCGTATATTCGACTTCATATTGGGTCCCGCCAATACCAAAGCCAAGATGGCCGTTCTGATGCCCGTGCCGAATCTGATGTCTTTCGTAATGAGCGATGGGAGCATGAAGACCAAGCGATGCGTCGTGTCCCCTTAAACCAGCGTGTGATCCAAAGGCAATTGATGAAGTTTTAGGTGCACCGTACGATAACAATGGCAGCTGAAAATGAGCAGTATTAACAGAAAACATTATTATGATAAGCATTATTAGCGCCAAACGTGAATGTTTTAGTTACTCACATATGTGATACATGGCGATGGCAAGGCTTTAGTGAACAGTTGACTTTTTCTCTAACTCAAGTGTAAAGTGAATCAAGTGACTAGAGCCCATTCCCCTAAAAGCACCTATAATCGAGTACAGTATTTGTAACATTTACTATGTATCAAACAGATTTTCTTGAATCAGAGTGAAATCCGTAATTGAAAAACAAACTTGTGTTTTAACATGAAATTGTGTTATACGACTGGTTAAATTTTTCTAAAATCCTAATCTAGCAACCGAAGCTTGGATTCTGCAAAGATTCTGAGATAGTCTGCAGCCATCCCATGAAAGCACCCTATTGCACATACCCAATGCTAAGCAAAAAGTCATGAAGCAGTAAGCAATTTTCGGGTTGATTTTCACTGCACAACTACTACCAGTTATTTAGGTGGAAAACTTAATCCCTGTTTACGCTAATGGTCAGCCGGTGAAAAGTACTTGTGCACTATTTAGAAAACCAGTGTAATCTCTCTATTCAGATTCGAAATAGAGATCTCGTCCGTGTATGAAGGATAATAATGGCGAAAATCAGCCAAATTTGCCACCGATATAGCCGTGGGCCGATAGATCTGCGTGAATTGATAATGAACCCCAGACAAATAGACACCACAAGCGGGATGGTATCGAGTTCAAGTCCTTAATACCATCATGGACTGTCACGACCTTTTCATTAGTGTATAACCCCTAATCTATTTTAGTCGACAGGGTCGGTCACCAGACGATCCAAATGGCTGTTCCGGGTGATCAGTCAATTTTAAATGCATACCATCTGGTCGATTTGCCACTATCGACGTCATTAATGTCCGTACGGCAATTGACTATGCAACGATTATTTTAACGCGTCGATACCAAGGTGGCAAGAGCAAACTAAAGACACTTTTTGGTACTACTATCCAGAGCAACCTTCACGATACGTGACTGATCCCGCTCACTATCGCGATTTTACTTTTATTTCCTTTATTAGTATCATCAGGCAGCTAACATCTTCCAGTATCTTGATTAACTAACTCGTTATGCATAATATTTGGTAAAACGGTCGTTGGCAGTAAAATGGCAGTCCCTTCAACAGACTAGCAAAACGGGTCTGTACCTATATAAGGAAACGAATACGAAAAAAGCAATGCACAAAGCAGCGATGCTCTTTTGTTCTTGCAAGCCGACTCGTAGCTCTAAGCGGATTACTATTGACTATAAACATTTTTTGCCGGATGACTTTCACCTTGGTTCGGTGACCCTTCTATTAATTGCGAGCTGTTTTGAAAGATAAGCACGGTAGTAACGTCATGGTAACGTGCTTGTGATACACGCGATCGGCGGCACCGGAACAGAGTCATTAGTCCCAGTGGAAGCTCACCACCGTCTCGCTGGTGACGCGATCCATTTCCGGCTGTCCTTTTGTTCATTTGAGATTTCTTCGATAAGCGACTAAAAACACTGTATGTACGGCGATTGTATGCACTTCGCAAGAGCTCTTCAATGGGCAAGCCAATTTAGTAAGCTATGCGGCGGTGACATTATCTAGTAGTCAATTAGGGACTACTATCAAGGCATAGAAAGTGTAAACATGCGGCAAATCCACATATAACCATAATATGGTGTGTCCAATTTTACCAATCTCAAGTCGTGCCTTCACGATTGTGTCACGGTTGCTACCATTAATACGATAATTATAGTAACAATAATAAAAACCCACTTTTTTATGCTATTAAGAGTGAAAATGAAAGATAATGAGAGTGCGTATCTCGATAACTAAACAAAGGAAGATGCTAATTCTATGCTCAGAAGGGCCGCATTGTGGCCTGAATTATCAACAAGAGTAGGAAGCAAATAGAACGTTGTTCTTCGTTGCTGCTTTACGCGGCGCCGAAAACCTCGCTCTGACGCTGGAATTTGTATAAGATTAATTGAGGAGCGATTGTGGTAGAATCCGTTCGAAGTATACGCATCGGTGTCACTGTGTGTCGCTGTTGCTACCGTAAAGGTAGTGCAAAAATACAGCCGTGCGTACCACGCATGCATCTAGTATTTATTAAAAAAAAAAAAAAACCTACGACGATGATGATGTCAGAAATCGAGCAGTGATAGCGCCACAAGTGAACGTGATGGGCGAACCATCATACGCATCGTGCCTGGGTTTTCTAGATGTCGATATACCTCATATTCATGGTGATGATAACTAGCCTTGCTAATAGGCTGGTCTCCGATCCTGGCAATATTTCAGCGGCGGTTGTCGCGATTGCTCGGGACGTTAACTTATCCATGCGTATGACTTTTCAAACGTTTTGATTAGAGTAGTTAACGTCCCGTCTGGAACTCTTTGTAAGTTACAAACTAGTTTTGCCCCAAGTGCCCGGTGCTGCTGGAATTGATGTAATTCGAATAATGAAAAGCGGGCGAGCAGGTCGTTGATATACGGCTGGATAATGCAGGGTAGCAATAAAAAGTAATCTTTTGCAAAAAGGCAAGATTTTAACGACGCCAACTGGTGCGTATTCTGATAATGGCAAGCATTGGTGCTGGTGATATATCGATGTGATTGCCTGGACTGATTGTGCATGTCGTAACGTGTACATGTTGCTATTGCGCTATACATATAATTTGACTATCAGATCATTGTGTGGAGCGGAAAAATTAACGGCACTTACGATAAAAAATTTTATTTCTGTACTTTCAGTATCACGCGGCTGCTGGCAGGAATGTGCGTGTACCGATTCTACATGCATCTTCAGGGAGTCTCAGTAAGTCCCTCTCAAGCATGCTAGGTATTAATGATGATACTAAATGGGTATGCTTCGTTCGGACCATCGCTAAGGGCCGTATGTTTGTAAAAACTAATATATATATATATATATATATATATATATATATATATATATATATACAGGAAATAGAACAAAAGATCGCTGTAACGTGCACTTCTTCTGTTTATCTCACCTGGTATGTAATTAAGATGTTCTATTTTTTTTTTGTAATTAAGTTGTCAAAATACACCTTTAGAGTTGCGCGCGAGATATTACTAAAGAATAGAGCCTTGTGCATAATAATACAGTGGTTCGTCAGAAAATTTTTCGACGTTTTGTCTTGATAAGCTGGATAACCAGACCGTAAGCATTTGTGTGAGCCAATAATTTTCAGGACTTTTTTTTTCTAATATAGGTGTTTACGTTAAGAGTACAGAACAAATATTTGCCGAAAAATCGTTAAAGCTTAATAAACACTGTTAGATTAACCCATTAAATAACACAACTTTCACACAAAGCCCACTCAACTGGGCTAAATGTTGCGTTTCTTGAATACATCCATTGTCCTTTCGACTTCGTTAGATCCCTTTTAGAGATGCTCGACTAGTCACCGAAATACTAAAATGGAACAGTACATTTTTCGTGATTGATCTTTTTTTGAACGTTATATATTTCTATTGATCTACAGACACGCCATGAGCGTAATTAAAAAGATATCTTTGAATATTCGTCCAAAGATCACAAAATGACGGATGTTTTTGTGCCTGCTGACTTTTTGACACAAACAAGTGTATGACTTCTAGTTTAGCTATTGGAATGTAGATGCCCTACGGAAAAACCTTCTGTTCGTAGTAAAATCTTTAGTCGACGTGACCAGCTATGAGAAGGCCATTTGGTCGTCCGTCGAACACTTCCAGGTGTCTGTCGTTAAACGTTTGATGACCGGATTTAAGCTCCAGGGCCCTTTATAGCCTTTCCAGGGCATGGTTGTTGTTGATCCGAACACATTACGGACTTAAGAGTGATCTTATTATCTGTTGTGACTAGCATGTAACTAATTCAATATTTTTTTATAAAATTTTTACCTTTATTCTCCCTTGAGAGCAGTATAAGCATACTCGAACTTATCTTATTAAGATGGACCAGTTACTTATCAGGCAGCTTCTCGTTAGCGTGTTGATTTTCGCAGTGTTTTCGGTAAAAAAAATACAAGGATACATCATGTTACTTGTCTACTACTGCTGCTGCTGCTGCTGCTGCTCTAATTGTAAGCCATCCTCACTGACGTAAATATTATCTATATCATAAAAACCAAATAAACATCGGGTTCTATTCAACAGCGAGTGAGGTCGCTACGCGTCATGTAAATATGTTATAATAATATAAATGTTGCACTGGACGCCAAATACGTATCGATGTCTCGACGTCATCTTAGTTCAGTCACTACTCGAAAATTAGCCATATTATGCGTCCTTGACGCAGAGAGCTGCCATTACGCACGACCGAACGTCGGATACATAAACGTGACCGCGGACATTCCGGAGGCAGTAATAGCAATACGAGTATTGGGTACGGTGTAGTTTGTGTGCCCTCCGAATACAGCCGGCAATGGCTCGTTCATCCATCGATTCGTAAATCGATGATAGGAGATTTAATGGGCAGGACTTTTCAGCATTCAGTTAATTCAGAGCAGGCATCAGCACTATCAAAATGAAAAGGTTTGGTCAATCGTCGAAAGGGTGAACGTGCTGAGCGTGAATAGAACGAAGTGTCCTGTATTTACTTGTAACAGGGGATTAGAGCCATGTGGCAAATGAGTAGCAGTGCTGGCTGGATTACGATAGTATCTAATAGTTACAATAGCAGTCTAATCGAGCAGTAACGGTAACATAGATGGAATTGGATGTCTCTTCCACCATAATCGCAGCCATTTTTGTAGCAACAACAGCTCCGAAGTTGTTTTGAGGCTTTGAGGCTTGCGTAGGCTTACATAGGGGAGTCGAACGCCTCATTTTTTATTTGGATCGGTTAGCTATCACGACATTACCAGCCCGTCGCCTAGCAACGGGGCCCGGTCTATGTCCCATATTACCTTGCCCGATTCCCACATCCCCCAGGAGCTGGCGATTACGCGCGTAGAACAATGCAGTGCTTATAATAATTTTAGCAGTGCTGTCAACAATGCGGGTGGCCAATACGATGTGTTCTTTGGCAAATCTGGCCGATTTCGTCAATAGCGTAGATTGAGGCAGATTGTTACAGGATGTCGATCACGTAGCCACGCGAAGAAGCCAATAGCTTGGGAACGTTGTATAGCTATTTAGGGAACATAAACGTCACGCTAGGTATAGCAGATATAACAGCAGGTATAACAGAGGGAAAAGAAGATCACGTCCTGGCATACTAGAAAGGTTCTTAAGTGAAAGATTCTATTTCAAGTGCACTTGCAGTTCTAGTCGTAGAAAGCTGTGCCTGCGCCATCAGAGGGAGAACTTTTTGGGGAAGAGCCGAAGAGCCGGTGGGGACACGGCTAGAAACCTCTGTTAGATACTTTGGGAGTGTAATGATGAATGTCCTACCCTGGCGTTTCGCTGCATTCAACATAGCACAGTGATGCGAGACAGACCAGCGACCTATGGTAGCGTGTAAAGCATTGGCTGAATGATGTGGATCGTTGGCAGTATCAATCAAACGTTTTCAGTTAAGCGGGTGCATGCAACAACTATTTAAATTGGAAAGCTTTGCAGTCACAATGATGATGCGGCCAATAGTGATAATTGTCTTAACGAAGTATGACACATCAAATGATAACACAACGTTTGTTTAATGGCGGACAAAGATTAATCATGCAGAGATGACAAGAAAAACGTCGTTGATAAAGGACTTCGATAGTATGATTTAAACAAAGCCAAAAAGTACACATTTCGTAAAATAACATTGAAAGGACCAAAACAAGGGATTATTCTCTATCACATGCCTGTTCCCATTTTGGGGTTACAAATCAGGTGTTTCTTTACATTTATTACTCTTATCGTCGGATAGATCGTACTGCCGTTACTGTACGGACATAAACGTTTAGGCATGTACGTTCTTGGCTTATATATGGTTTTTTCCGCATATTGCTGACCCAACACGTTCCGTTGTATAGCAGTGCTCCTGCGTGTACTTTCTTTGCTCTTGAGAAAACTATTCTTTGGTATTATACATCAACTGGCGAAATTTTAGCTTTTATACTATATATAGGTGTAAGCTTTTAATTCGGTGTTTGACCCGTTATGCTGCTGAGGCTGTCAAGTGAATAAATGGGCCTATTCAACAAAATATTAGCATAGGAATAATGCAATAGTGGCAGCTATATCGTTTTATAAAATAGTAGCGCATTTATGAAGCGACATTATTCCCCTTTGATGTTGTCCTTATATACTAAAAGACAGTTGGCATAAGTGAAGAGGCAGCTTGTATTGCACTATACCAACAATGCTTTACATATGATATATGTCTGCTAGGGTTATCTACCGTCGGCGTTTCCTTAACCTTGTATCTAAATGTGTTCACAAACATGTGTCCACAGTCGCTGAATGTCTTACAGTCAATCGAAGGCTTCGTCTGCAGGACATGTCTTTCTGCATCTACAGCACAGTGTCAAAACAAGGAGGTGTGCATCCTAATTAGCCAATGACATTATCAGCGATACTCACACTAGCACCATCAGAAGAAGCCTATTGCTTGTCCTTGGCCACAGAAAGGCCTCCCTCGCTTTCGATGGTGTCGCAATCATTGAAGTAATGAGTGTGCAGTAGAGAGGCCTACGTACTTCACTAAACAATGTCTTGTTATCTAAACGTAGTCAGTATACTGTAGTAGCCCCCCTACTAAAACCGGACGGGAATAACAATTCTGACTTAATCGTACGAAAATATACATGAAAACAAACAATGTTAAGGGGGTCACCGTTCAGTTGGACGATTAACAAAGAATTAAGGTGTGTTTTCGAAGATATTGACCGCTGCTACCAACAGGAGCGGGGTGACTACGCTATTATAAAGAGTGACTATACTATAAAACGTGAGAGAGTTGCGTTAAAGCAGATTGTGGCTGTGATATCTACACAGATTAGGCTGTTGTGATCTAGGTTCGAACCCGGGTAAAACATGGGAATATTTCAGTTTAATTAAACCAGCGTCTGAGAATTCAAGTCCAGTATCGATTATTATAGTTATTATTACCACTGTAAATATATTTCAAACGATGTATAAACGAGCTTAACTAAGCGGTTCGTAATAGTGAGAAAACTTTATTGTGTAATAAAATGATTGGCATTTCCCCTCTATTCATAGGTGCAATAACATCCCCTCCCTACCAACGTAGTACGGGCCCTGTCGTCCCCAGTCGGTTGTACATTGCCTTTTCTATCATCGGTAACGGTCAGTTATCACCCTTTGACAAACAAAATAATTATACTATTTCCAACACTGATCTATAGCCTTCACACTTATTTGGAAAAACAGTAAATTTCGACAGAATGGTCGCTGTAGTTCATTAAGCACGACTGTGCTTATTATTCATTGGCTCGTTTGTCGATACATCTGTGTGTATCTGTGTATTAGTTGTTATTTCATGTACGTACGTGTTTTTAGTGGTAGTAACAGGATCAGAAACTAGCTTGCCCAACAGATGTGGCATGTGCAATATTAACAGCGCAAGGAGTAATAAATACAGAAAATTATCATAATATAACATAATAGTGAGAATTAACGATCTAAAGTGGTGAGTTTGTGATTTAAAATAACTGTAAAAAAATAACTAACTGTAATGAACCCCCTGCAGATAAGCAATCTGTTGTTCCATCCTTGCGGACATATTCTCTTTGGGCTAACCTGGAAAATTTTACCTAAAAAGATAATTCGGTTGCCACGCAACAACGCTGGGTTGCGGAATACCCAAGTGGTAAAACGCCCGCTAAGTAAAAATCAAATAGATTTTTTACTAACTAACTACTAGTTGGTTAAGGTAAATGAGCATACGATATAGCGCCCTTTCTTATTTGACCTTCCACGCCCCTTAACGCATAACTCCCACGCTTATTAATATTATAATAGCGAAGATATTGCAAGTATCCCGTATTAAAACGGTCTTATTTTTTTGTCAGTTTCTTGACGTTGTCAGCTCAATAGAATCAGCGGCGGACCGATCGAAAAATCACACGTCCACACAGATGCGTTGATTCATACGCTCATGCACAAACGACATTGGGGCTCAGATCATAGCGGTACAAATCTATAATGTATTGATTCGCTATTTCAATGATGGCACTCAATTTCATAGATGGCCGACGATTTTTCGATTTGTCTTTAAACTGATGCCGGTAAACGCCTTGAAGCCTACCAGCGTTGAATCCGAGCGTGTTGAGACACCTGTTTACAGGGAAATACAGTTCTCCATTGAACTGTTACAGCTATCAGCGTGATAGTGACCAGATGGCTTACAGATATATATCTGACGAACGGCCATATTCATATACGGTGACATTACAATAGATGGGCTGATGCCATGTTATTTCGTCCACAAGTTTTTTATCGCAGTATCAATAGTGAATCGGCTGTAGGTGTGAGCTTTATGAGGTGATTTAATTTTGAGGAAATAACATTTTTTTGAGGAAAGAGCAAATAAGGTACAACTAAATTTCAACCTTATTTGCTCTTTTGACTATGCCACTGAAAAGCTGGCAAAAAGGTTACGGAAAAAAGCGAAGCGCTCAAGTAAGGTATACCAAGCTTCCAGGAACTGTCACATACATGAACAGAAGCACCTGATACTGCCTTGCGAAGGGAGTCCGCGCCGTAAGATTGATCAGCCACTTTTATTACTACGCGCGTTCGTATGATTAGGAAGCACTAAACGGAAACGGCGTTTTTAAGTAAATCACGGAGGGAAATGTTTCACTGTAAAATTGTTCTCAATGCCTCTAGATAAGGCATTAACGACAATTTCCAATATATGCCATTGTAGTTCAAATAGTCATAGTTAGTATGTACACCAACAGAGGGAACGCGTTCGGGTCCGTAGATTATCCATCATCCATTGAGGAATCCTACTAGGAAAACTAGGTCTCAGGCGGAATTTACATTATTATGTAGTATTGTAATTTTACATGTTATTCTAATAAAACCCTTTTTTATAAAGTCTCTTGGAAGTCGACAATTGCACTGTAACATATATATTAAACTGAAGAATTCAATAAAAAAACGAATCCCAACAAAAATTAGATCGTTTTCTCGCGCCTACTGTTTAATATAAAATTAGCTTACGGCTCATAACAAAAACATTTTCGCTGTGATTTTATATGCACCGTTTTTCGAAAAACCATCAAATAACAAAATCATTATTCGCGATGTTATTTTTACAAAAGAAATCACTTCAATCAATAATAAAGATTATTATTATTATATTGTTATTAATAATAAATATTATTATAATTACTAAAGAATCCAAATAAAGTTTATTAATTTAATCCAAATAAAGCTTAAAACGCGGAAAAAATTATTAATATTACCATAAATATCAACCCTTTAAAATATTCGTTCGATGATAAAGAAACTATGTAAATAAAGCTAATGGATTGAATTAAACCACTGGGTCATTTAAAAATTATTTTAAGAAATAAAATGAAACTACAAATACAACAAAATATAAAAGTAATAAAACTTATCTTTCATGATAATGAAATAGAGAAACGATCCTGCACGTGAACGATTCCCGGCAAGTCTCACACATGTGGGTCCATTCAGGAAAGGGGTTGGGAACGGCGTCCCCATCGTTCCGAAGGCTATAGTGCTGTGAGCTTTTATAGAATCGAGCAGATTCGAAGATAGCAAAGCTATCATACCAGAGAACGTAACATGAATCGAATACCCGTTGTTTATATTTATTGCTTGCCATGTGCAAATATGAAAGCAGACGGGTGCTTGCCTGTTATTGTAGATGCAAAAGCCGGGAAATTTGGGTAAGAATCGAAAGCGATAACAGGATTTTCGCTTGTTGTGATGTCAGATCAGCCATCGACTGGGCTGCTGGCTATACTAGGACTTCGGTAGCCGTCGGTACGACGCACTCGATTAAAATCGGTCCTTCACAACGTTTGCGTAATGAGAATATACGTCTGTTTATATGGTAATGATATAGCGCGGCCAATATGTTATTCAGATAGGAACAATATGTTGATTTACGCGCTATAGAAAAAAACCGCGATTTCAGAGTTTGCTTATTGATTTTTGCGTTGACCCGTTTCCGCTGTTACGTAAGCATCTAGATTAATAGAAAATATGTTGAATAGGGTTAAAAGTAATAATATATCGCTCGGCAAATCCGAGGGCGCAAATAATGATCTTTTGATTAAATACCGACACATTTCCTACTACATGCTACCTTTAAAAGCATTGTTTTTTTTTGTCTAGTGTTTCGCCTCTATGCACTATACTAGCAGTGAACGTATCAATCACACTGTTGTAGAATACTGTTTGTATTTAGCTTTAATCGACGCTTGAATAGCGGTTTACAGAAATTTGAAGGTTATCTACTTGCAAACGTCATAACATCCACCTAGGAAAATCACTTTAGAGTGAACTGTGTATAGCGTGAGAACTTCAGTGAGAAAAGTTCGCAGCAGTAGCTCGTGTTTCTTAAGTACCCTAATGGGAAATGTAACGGGTAATTGCGGTTTGGAAAATACGATCTTAACATCCGTGAGGCCCAAGTGGGCCTTTCTAAAATGGTGTTCCTTAATGTAGCAATAAGACGTCCGCTGGAATCCATCGCCCAAAGCTAGCTATTCTATTTCAGCCATTCTACTTCGTATTTCGTGATGCCAATATATAACCAGCAAAATTACAAGAAAAACAGTACGGAACAGCCCGAAAGCAGTCTGCAATATAGTATATATATGAGATGGATTTCTTACTTTACTTTGAGAAAAAAAAAAGCGGCACCGTAGAAAAAACACGAATCGAAGTGATTACTTGTGACAACAGATAGTATTTAAGAACGATTTGAAGGGTACCGGACACTGAAATTGTTGCAACTGTTATGAAACCCACGTCGCGTGCTTATATCTATGAATTTAGAAATTAGACTATGGCCCGGTATATTTATGTCGTTATATAATATAAAAAGGAGGAGAAAAATCCGTGTCCTGCTGGCGGCCCTCCGTTCTAGCACAATTCACAATGGGCATTGAATCATTTTTCAGCGTTGCCACAAGGAGTCATGTCGATAGACATTCTTCTAAGGAGCCCGCTGTTTTCAGTGAAAACGTGCAAGTATGCACGTTGCTTAACCGTTTACCTACACAGCTTTATTTAACGGATTCCGGCAAACGAAGATATGGACTCACCCTGACGCCGCCCTGATTTAGGTGCTGAATGCTGTCGAGGGCGCCTTTAGCATATCCACCAAAACCTCCAACATATCCCCCGTAGAGTTTGGACCTCTCCGGAAAGCCGTAATCGACTAGTTGGAGGCTTCGATGTCCATGACTGCCAGGGGTGAACCTGTGACTACCAAAGTGACCTGCTGATAATAAGATATTATGGCCTCCATAACCCCCAAGGCTTCCAAGGCCACCATAGGAGAGGCCGCTTCCTAAACTGCTAAAGCTATGCATCCCAAGAAGGTCACCTGATGCTGCTTCCTGAGGAATTGTCGCTCCGTGCTACACACCATATCGCCAATAGAGAAGAGAAAAATAGGAAAACAATGATACAGGTAGCGTGTAGTTACATATCCACTGTACACATTGACTACAGACTAAACAAAAAAAACACTGAAAAAATACAAATTAAAATACGTGTGAGGCTAATTTAAGAAATGATTCGATCTGTTGACACAAACGATCGACTATACTCGTAGTATTTTAGTTGGATGTTTTCATTAACATGAAAAGTATGAGGCATTTCGGGCCAAGAGTCGGCCGCGGGAAAACTTACTAACCTGAGTGTAGGGTCCTCGATAGCTATACTGGTACGACTGGCCGTACGAACTCGAGTGTGCGGTCGCAGTGATTGACACGAGAGCAGATAAAAGAACAAACTGAAAGCCATCCGACCAATTAGGCAGGAAACGACAAGTGTTACACGCGTTATCTCGCTGTCAGTACGGAATATTACATGTGGAACACTCTAAGTAGTGCACCCAGCTAGCCGGAACTCGCATATATTTAGCTATGCTTTGATTAGAGATGACGCATGTCGTCGTCGACGAAGCCATGGCGATAAGTTTTAATCTGTTTGCTCGGACCCAACAGCGTTGAATCGACGTAGCATGGGGGCAGGTAGAAAGCTGGTATCTCTAGCAAGCGGCGTAATAATAATGAGCAATTTGGGAAATATTCTTCGGTAATACAGCACGCCAAAGAAAACCTGTGTCCTCCGCTTCTTCATTCATTGTTTCTACTTCGCCGTCGGATTTCTACGATGTGTAGTCACGTGGCCGAAAATAGTATGTTCTTTCTTTTTTATTGTTTCTCCCAAGCAAATTTACTATGTCGGTCAGTGTTTTAGGCAAAATCATTCTGATCTAGTTGCATTTTTTGATACTTGATGTGACATCTGAGAAATAACCTTTGTGAGTCGTTAGGTGCATGTCCATGAGCCATTTGACGCATACTAGATTAATTAGCACTAAATAATTAATGTGGAGAGGCGTAGCTGTATGTAAAGTATGGAATGAATTAAAAAAATAATGAAAAAGAAAAAAACGCCTTTGGAAATTATTTGTCACAGATTGCTGTACGTACTTTATGAGACAGCAAGGCACCGGGCGATTAGATAAAACTTCACGGTTTATTTGAAGAGTTCAAATCTAGAAGCAAAACACCTAGTGCACTTCAGGGAAGTGCTGCTAAAGGATACTGTGTTACGGTCACGCGCACTGAGAACACAGTTCAATTGTCTTTCAAATTTCCGGTGAGATTTCTAGTTATACGATCACACGACCTGATTCCTTATTAAATAACTAGCACCTATAAATAGTTGGTGAAAAATCTGCAAGAAACAAAAAGTGAACTCATATATCCAAGCTCTTCACGTATATCACGATGCTGATAAACGATAACTAAATATGGTAGGTAATTAAATTAAACTCCGAAGGCTTTTTAACAATTGAGGAACTACGTATCAACACGCACCGACTTCATATTCTGACGTGACGTTTTCTACTCTTCTTTTGTGATGGCACACACGCGTACACCCAAAGTACTGTCGTCGTTACAGTCTAGGGACAGCTTTCCCTATCGCATAAAATACACACGAAATAGACAACGCTGTCAACGACTTGCCACTCGAAAAAGCAACAGTTAAAACACGGATGGATAACCAATCTTCAGTCGCAACGATGCGTACGTCACATCAACGCGACGTGGAAGCTTTACCGGGCACGCGAGTCAATTACGATGGACAGTTGTAAGAAAAATGAACGAACAACAACGTGAATCACTGGGCTTGTTTATTCAGACGCGCGCCCCCGAGGGTTTGTCGACCGGGCAGGTATAAGTGGGCGCGGGTTTTGTAGACACCCTCCACAACTTGAGCTGCTGTTTCGGCATCAGCATCTGCTTCGTTCGTTTGGTCAACCCTCTTTCCTTGGCAAGGGCATAGCAAAAGTAAAGGCGAGCAACTGACACACACGGTAACAATAGTAGGACTCAATACTGGTGACAGTTGCTTACGGCATTGCAGTATTTTAGCCCTTCTATCACCATTGAGAGATTGCTATCGTCGTGTGTGGTCTGTGTACGGTTTGACTTTAATGAAGTTATAATTAGAGGTAATTATTTTCCTGTAACGGGATTTCGGCGAAGATCTTTAGCATCATTCCTAATTAAGCGATGGTGTGCATATATAACTGATGATGATGATGATGCTATTTAAACTACGCATCTGTTAACATTTGCATAGCTTGTTACAGATATCAGCTGGTGAGCTTTCCTCAATAGTAGATATATACTCGCATAGCTATTCAGGCTCTTATTTCCGTCACTTATATAAAATAGATATTATGTACACACGGCCTTTTCTGTGACTGTTCGAATTTCTTATCGCTCCCAAGTGTTGTTTACTTCTCTTTCCAAAAATTCAATAGAGAAACATTTATTTTAAATGTAAATTTTTCAAATGTGACACCGGACAGGAGCGTATTGGTGTGTATTTTTAAAAAATTAATTTCGGCCTTGAAGAGTCTGGTTTTTTACATTTGAATATAAACTTTTTCGATTGTAAGGCACGAACTTAGTATGACAATTTGTAAGTGTCTTGCCAATATGTGATTGCAAAACATTTCGGAAGCAATTACCTTTGCTTTCCGAATCTTTATTACGTTTATTGTTTATATGACAAAAAAAAAATCACTGCTTTATAGCCAGCTCTATGGCGGTACTATTGACGGCTTTACTTAACTCTTACTTTGTTAGTTAACAGCGTTACTATAATTCAGCAAAGCTGTCAAAACATGAAAAAAAAACTGTGTCTACGCCTAGCACCTAGCCTAGGAAGCCTTAACAATTGTTAAGGTTACAATTACATCATAGCTTGTACGCAGTTACCATGGACTGAAAAAAAATAGTTGGCCTTTTTCAACACTCTCACGTAAGACATAACTGAAAGTGTCCAAACTGTGATTAAATGCTAAAAAAGGATGGTATTTATTTTTCCAGAGTAATATTTACATATATATGCTTTATCATATTTTCGATGCACATAATACTTCTGTTGGCTGTTACGGCGTTTCTGTTTTCTTTAGGAAGCCCCATTACAACTAGAGAATAGCAGTCTATTACGTATCTTCGCTCCCGTCGAGGCCTCGTATGCTTTGTATGGCAATTCACACGATAAGAGGACTGTTCACTGCAGAACGGTACGACATAAACGAAGTTCAACTCACTGATGATAGTAATGTCTTTAAACAAGTTCTACAAACGTTGAATAAATATAATACGTTACCGTATGACAATATGAACCACTGTTTTTATTCACACCGGCGGTGTTGACGGGGCCTCAACTCGACTTGCGTACGCCATTACGTTGATGCACGTACGCATACGTCGAAAAGCTTTTCACAAAACGAATACTAGTCAATCGATATACATCTCTCATCCTATAGGAACAACGATTAGTCATTGTAGCATTTTATAGGACGTTGCCAGGATGGCTTGTCTGCATAGGTATATATTTTATGGCGTATAAAAAGTGAGAATAATCGTTATACGCTAGTATATGCCGGTTATGATTGTTAAGGCTTGAATAGAACATGTGGCCCGATGAAATCTCTTGATATTACTGGACATGATTAGGCCACAGCGCTATCGGGTGGACAACTAGAAACAGAACGTCGTTTGATACTTTTCAACGAAGCTTTTGTCTTCATGGAATGCTGGTGAAGAAGTGGTCGGGATAAATGCAGCTCTTCAATAGAGGACTTTCGAGCTTTAAGTTCCCACCCGACAAGTTTACGCTGTGCCCACCTCTAGTTACATAGTCAGGTAGTTGTCCGCGATACATTGGACGACTATGCTAGAGATGAGTACACTGTGCCATAGATATCTTGTTTGTTTAGTTATATATAAGGTGTCTGATCACATGGATCTTATCGGTGTTCTGGCGACTTTTCACCGTCACAGAATAAACCAATGATTCATTAAAATATATGATACGAAATGTCGTCAGTATGACTCACATACTCTCCCAGGCCAGTTAGCTCACTTACACTGCTCGTTGATCTACCAAACCGCTATGTAATAAAAGCAACTGACATATAAAAGGATTAAATAGTCACACTAGCAATAGAGTGTGACAATAAACCTGTTTTGGAACGCCTTAAAAAGCACACATTAAACATGACTTCAAGCGTGTCTTTCTCTCTCTTTTTTTTTTTTTTTTTTTTTTTTTTATAAATTCTGATCATCAGTTATCGACAACGACGGTACATACAAAAATGAAGAAGATAAAATAGGAACCCTACGTATTTTTTTTTGCGTTGTATAATCGAAAGTTAGCTTCCGTCGTATTTTTTCGATTTCAACAAAAATATCGAGGCGTTGCCTAAGCATGTTTAGCGATTTTTATTCAGGACTTCAATAGAATCGGCGAAAGAAAATTAATTTTACCCTCGTCAGCTGACATCAATGCATGCCGACGCCGTTTTCTAATATCGGCATTACGTAACAACCATTTTGTGACAGTTGACGGACGTATAATCGCCGTTATAGTGATAACTTTGAAGCGAGCATAAATTACCATTGACAAAGAAAGTAAACACACGTTCAGCGTTTTCTTCGCTGATCGCTTTCTATCGATATGGGACGAAGCTGACGAAAAAGAGAGAGTAAGCAACCGTTACGAATTATGATCGGCAGTGGAACTCCTCGGGGCAAATCGTTTTTGTAACCAAACAAAATGGAAACAGGACATGGATAGTGGAGACACGTGATTACGTAGAAATCTATAAGCGATTAAGTTAGCCATGGCTTCAATGTCCTTTCCCTGCTTCTTAGATGAGCTTTTGTTAGCAATGCAGAGCTTTGTAGCGGATAAAATCACTGCGATGGAACAGGCGTCTAGTTGGCGGACTCTGTTTTTCGTCTAAAGACAGTTCAGGGATCTCTATTAGAGAGATCGAGTATTTTACGGCTCGAATCTAACACACCATTGTACAAGACATTATCGTCATTTGCCGGAACTTAAACTGAACCCGGTAACCTCCGAGGTAAATTTGATAACAAAAAAACTTAACAAAAAAAAAAGAAAAGTTCCGAAATATTCAAGAAAAACATGTGAGCATGCTACTTATTATTATTATTCGTAATCCCAATAAGCCCGATGATTTATTTGATGGATAGAAAGTCTAAATTAAACTCAGTAAGCTAGATATAATTTACTTATTTGTCTCCGGAATACATTTTAAACCAAAAAACCAAATATATGTTTCTACAGTTGATTGAGATGGATATTATTGAGGACCTCCATTAAGGTAATGATGAATTAACACACGAAAGCTTCATTGCACAAATACCGGTTGCTTAAATAAAGCTTAATTCGGTACGTCTCGTGGTCTACCCCTGTTACTTTGGACTGGTATTTTTCTTTTGCCATCAAGAAAAGCAAAGCAGTTTCTTAAATTATACCAGCCAAAAAAGCACCTAATGGTGCCATATAACAAAACCCATCCAGCACCTTAGGTCATTACACGTAGTGACACAGACCTGTCGAAATGCTCTGTTTTCTTTAATGGTTGGTTATTCCTAATTGAGAATTGCTTGACTCTTTTTTTACACTCTGTATTAACTATCACTGGCCCCTTTTCTCTCTCACCATATTGAAACCCGGCCAGACCCAGCTGAAAAACTAATGTGCTCACCTTGTGTCAGCCGTTAGGTCCTAGCTCATCATTTCTGTGTGCAAATACAAGTTTGCTCTGGTCCATTTAAAAGTCATACTGCATTTTATAATATCTACCAGATAGCAGCGATGTGAGTTAATTAGAAATATAAACCGGTGTCAGCGTTACTGCTGTTATGGTCGCTGCCCGCCCTTTCGATAAGGATAAACTGGCGATGAGGGTCTCATCGCCGTTTCTATCATTGGCTATATTGCCAACAGCCGACACAATTCAAATTATACGCCACAGATGACGCGCTAGTTACTAGCTCGCTCAAATGCCTTCGCAGATAGACTGGTTTAATTACCACTACCGGAGCGTCTCGCGATAGACGACGAGCTAACGAGCCTTGCGCTAGTCGTATTAGCTGTCAAAGACATGTTCCGTGTGCCTTCAAATTATGTTATAGCTTTCAGGTTCAAACAAATAGCGACTTGGGATCTTTGTTGGCAAGCTATGCTTTGTATGACGGAGATGTACAAAACTGTTAGTTCTGGGTTCTATTCTATTGTTCCTTATTCTTCGTAACGTTGTTGCTTGTACCGTCGCTACCGACAATGATATCATTGTGGTCATCAGATAAAGTGTACATGCACGAACGTGCATGTACACTTCGGCCTTCGTCGTCTATGTATTTCCGCCTCGCGAGAAACCCTATTCTTCCAGAAAGCGTTGTTGTTCTACGCGGTTTTATTGTAGTAATGGTGACAGTGGCAATACCATGTGGTTGCACCGTAATTATTGTGGTACGCCATGTAACGTGCTTCCTACTTTTGCGTTATCAGCGTTAACATCTATCGAAATAACATGTGGTCTATTTAATATGACTGATGTGCGACACGTCTGATCGAATTTAAGATTCTGGAGAACCTTCAAATCGGAGGTCGTGGCATTAGGGGCACCCGCCAGAAAGCACACATTGAATGATAATGATGGTAATCATCAGGTTTAGGAATAAGCAATGCATTTTCGCGTGATTAGTTTTATTTGGTAAATATTTAACAAGTTTTGGATACCGCTTTCAGATTCACAATAATTGACCTCTGTATACCCGACTCTGTAGGTAGGGTTGACCAAGGCGCCCACGATATGGGTCATAAAAGAAGTGACTAGGCCAATGTGAACAGTAAATATAATGAATGTTTTGCAAATTACGAGGCCTCCGGCGAAGATGATGGCATCATTTTCGCCGGAGGCCATTGCCAAGGCAATTCCTTCACATATTGATTACGTAAGAATAGAAAATGCAATGTAATCCAATGATGCGATCAGCAATACTTAGTATGGCAGTCAGTGGCTTTTGCATAACTATCTGTTATGGGTAACTGGCATCCCATAAACTTATATCCGTGCATAATTAAACATGTCTAATCAACACCACTTAGTTCCACGGGATTTGATGAACTTCGATATGGTAATGAGGAAGAACGCCTGATTTGTGGTTTTCCAATGTAATTTTTATCCCCCTATAATTCCATACAACACGTCGCAGAAGCCCGAAAGAATTAAACAGACGTCCAAAACATATTAAATAGGTAGCTTTTCTGATTTCAAGCCATGTTTCCTACAAGTGTAATGGATTTCTGGAAGCGCAAGAGTTTAATGAAATTGAATAGCTTCTTTATGTCATCAATTGCTTGCCGTTCTTTTGTCTTAAATAACGTTTATATGATAAATAATTTAAATTGGTATATATATATATATATATATATATATATATATATACTCTTGAAGCAAACGTTAGCGCTTCTACGCATGCGTCATCCTGCTTGTCAGAAGTACTCGACTATTCCCACTGCGACGTATCGTTCAGCGCATGCTCTTGTCATCAGGAAAATTGTCCTTCTTTTACGCTAACAGATGTTACATGAATTTCGCATGTTGCGCTGTGTCATTTGGACTCTCGAATCGGTACCCAGCGATTAATGGGTGTGGTTAATTTTTGAAGCATTTGTCACGGCTGAATTTGTCAGCCTTCACATGAAGTTGGGGTACGTGGACATGTGCAGTATCGTATGCAGGTTCCGACTCCGGTGCGAAACATCTTCGGCACAATTACACGCAAGTCAAGTAGATATTATAATGGTTACATGCGTCTTGTGTCAGGGAATTCGTTGATGAAGCTTTGCTGCTGTTTCTGCGCCCTAAACGGATAGTATGCATATTTAGAGGATTTTGTGAATGAGTCTATCATCAAGTTAATAGGATGCAGGGCCATGGATCCTCTTTCGAGCGGAAAAACAATTCAAAGATCTTATTTTAAGGGTAATTTACCCCTATGCACGCTGAGTGCAATGCCGACAAAAATTTGAACGAGTTAGGTTCTATTTCGGTGGTCACATTTTAACCCATTTTAGCACCAACACTGTGCAGCTAATAGATACGTGCTTCCAGTCTTATGCTCAAAACTGCGTTACCAATGGACAGGGCAAGTGACCTCCAATTATAAAGTACGGTTTCGAAAATTTAGCATCTTAACCAAATTCGTATGGAATTCCATAGTACAAATATGGGAAATAGTAGAAAATTATCATTCTTTAGATATTTCATATCTTCTTTTTCAATGCAGCGAAAAAAT